GCACAGACATCTGAATGGCCTTCTATGGGCATCCACACAAACCTTGGGCTTCAACATGGCCTGAGGCCTGAGGCAGCAGACTACCAAAGTTGCTCAGAACCAGGGCTATTGTGTGGCTGGGGGGGAGTGGGTGAGACCGCTGCATGAACTCCAGGCTGCCACACACCACCCTGTCAGCCCTACTTAGCAAGGACATGCTCCCCCACCCACCCACTGTAGCCATCTCTCATACCTGTGAACGCCTTCAAGTCTCTAGCTCTGCCTCTCTCCACCATGAATGCACCACTCCATTCCTCCATTTTCCCACCATTGAAAGTTCATTTTCCCTCCATTGAATTTCCCTAGTCCATCATAGTGGCATTGGAAACTGCAGGGTGTCACATCCTATATTGTTTTGCCCAAACATCTTTACACATAAATATTCACTTCAAAGAGTCGCCGGTCTGTTTCAAGACCTCTGGTGTCTGAAGCATCACAAATAATTGGACCACTGCTAAGGCTCATTTCAGACATCCTGCTGTTGTCCAGAGTTAGGATGATGTTGCTGTTAGGGGAAGTGCCCTGATCCTCACTGGGTTGAACCTTTGTGCTTGTAGCCTGTGGGCAGTGTTGCTGCTCTGCATTCGGTCTTCCAGCAAGACCAGCAGCACAGGCTTCAACCATGGTGACTCCGTGCTGGGAACTGACTGATGGGCCTAGGGCCAGTCCTATTTAGTAATGACCTGTTTCTGCAGGGGCTCTAGGCTTCCACACAGCTGACCACGGCTCATCTGGCTCAACCCTTGTGCTTGCAGCTTGCTGGCTGAGATTCGGTGTTGAAGGGTATGCTTTCATCATTCCCTACTGCTCAGCTATGTTCCACCGTGTTTCTTCCCTATTTTGGGTGTGCACTTTTTAAAAGCATCTTCCCATAAGACTTTCCCATTCTGTTTTTCTTAGTTGTTCCAGAGCTATGTGGGTCCTGCAGACTCCTTTTTCCTCACCATGTCACCCATCGGAGCTCCCCTTTGCCTCCACCACTAAACACAGAGTCTGGCTCCTAACAGGCAATTATAAGTATGTGCTGAGTTTATCAGTGCTTTCATACAATGAAGGTGAACAGACAAGGGTCTATTCACCTTTAGAAACATGTTCTGTAGCTGAGGGTTTGTTCCTACTGTTGGAGAAAACTTGGGGACTCCCTAGGTAAGAAAGGACTATATCATTCAAAACATACTTACTGCTTTCCCATAACTTCAAATAACCAAAAGAAAACACTACCGCTGACATTCAGCACAAGAGCCTATTTGCAAGAAAAGAGGTCGTAAATTTCTTTGCAAACTGTCCTTCAAGTTTTGGGTGTGCCTGATGGGTACTTCAATAATGCAAAGTGTTTATTTCTGCTGTCTCTAGAGGTGGCAGCTACAGTAGGGCAGGCTGACCTAGTGAAGATGTCTCTGGTCACTTCTGTACTTGAAGGAAAATGACTCACCTGAGATGAACTCTAGCTAATCTTGAGCAGAGTAACTACCAAGCAATCCTTCACCCCTGCAAAGTAAAATCATAACATTGCCTTCCTGGCACCACATGAGACATTAGAAAAAATGTAGGGAAACCAAAAAGAACATCACAAAATCACTATCTATAATATGCAGGAAAGCAATCTGTCTGTATTGTATCAAGAGGTACTAGTCTGCATCCAATATGTGGCTGGCTGACACTGACGTTATGCAGTCATCTGAACTCAAAAACAGAGCTGGCTTAGATGGTGTAGTTAGCTGTGAATTATCACTATTAACTGCTTCCTTACATCTAGGTATAAGCTGCTAGAAACAAGAGTATTTTATAGATATGGTTAAAGATTAGGGGAGAGGTGGGTGCTGGGGAACTCAGAGCCTCTTCCAAGCTAAGAGTCTAAATTGTACTACTGAGCTATCCCTGTAGCACCCTAAATGTGACTTTTAGTGCTGCAATAATGTAAACTTAAAAGAACAGTTACAAGATAGCTTTTAAAAATGCTCCCTGGGAGGACCCTAAGAGATACATACATGGTCCCCAGAGAAGGGGAAAGGGACAAGATCTCCTGAGCTAATTGGGAGCATGGGGTAGTTTGGAGAGGGAGTTAGGAGAAAGAGAAGGGGAGAAGAAGAGGGGAAATGAGGACATGAGGGAGCAGGAAGTTTGAGTCAGGGAAAGAATAGAGGAGAGCAAGAAAAGAGATACCATAATAGAGGGAACCATTATAGTTTTAAAGAGAAATCTGGCACTAGGGAAATGTCCAGAGATCTACAAGGATGACCCCAACTAATGATCTAAGCAATAGTGGAGAAGCTGCCTTAAATGCCCTTCTCTGATAATGAGATTGATAAATACCTAAAATGCCACTCTACAGCCTTCATCAAGTAGCTGATGGAAACAGAAGCAGACACCCACAGCTAAACACTTAGCTGAACTCCTGGAATCCAGTTGCAGAGAGGGAGGAGTGATGAACAAAGGGTCAAGACCAAACTGGAGAAACCAACAGAAGCAGCTAACCTGAACAAGGGGGAGCTCATGGATCCCAGACTAATATCTGGGAAACCAGCATAGGACTGATCTGGACCCTATGAACATGGGTGTCAGTGAGGAGGCCTCTGGTAGTAGATCAGTATTTATCCCTAGGTTATGAATGACTTTGGGAGCGCACTCCACATAGAGGGATACTCTCTCAGCCTAGACACATGGGGGAGGACCTAGGCCCTGCTCCAATTGATATGACAGACTCTGAAGAGCCCCTATGGAAGGCCTCACCCTCCCTGGGGAGCTGAAAGGAGATGGGATAGGGGGTCAGTGGGGGACAGGGGAGGAGGTGAGGGAGAGGGAACTGGGATTGTCATGTAAAACAAGCTTGTTTCTAATTTAAATTAAAAAAAGAAAAGAAAGAGAATGCTCCCTGGGACTCACCATCCCTAGAGATTAAGACTTAGCAAGTTTAGTATTTTATACAAATGCGGAGGTTAATACTAAGACATGCAAGTCTAGAGCACACTCCACTCACTGGTATCAGCCCTATTCCCTTCAATAAAAGGGATTTGACATAAAATGAGGGCTCACTTTGACTGTGGTGTTTCGCAAAGTTGTTGGGAAAACAAAATTCTATTTAATAGGAAAATTGGGGCTGATGAGAAGGCTCAGTGGATAAGGGTGTTTGCTGCCAAGCCTGGCAATCAGAGTTTGCTCTCTGGACGGTGGAAGGAGTTGTGCTCTGAGTTCTATATGTATACCATGGTGCCAACTGCATGCACATCTGCTCTCACACAAAGAAATGTGGTTTTAAAAAATTAGCAGTAACTGTCTTCATCATTCCTAGAGATAAAAATGCTGAGCAGGAATAAAAAAAATTTTTTTGGTTTTTCGAAACAGGGTTTCTCTGTGGCTTTGGAAGCTGTCCTGGAACTCTCTTGGTAGTCCAGGCTGGTCTCGAACTTACAGAGATCCGCCTGCTTCTGCCTCCCGAGTGCTGGGATTAAAGGCATGCGCCACCAACGCCCAGCTTAAAAAAATTTTTTTAAACTGTTTTTGATAGATAGTGATGAATTTAGGAGAGAAACTCTTCATAATATAATCTGTATTCAGAGCAAAGTGATAGGTCATTTAAAAAATTTATCAGGAGGCCGGAGAGATGCCCTAGTAGCGAAGAGTGTGCAATGGCCTTCCAAAGGACCAGAGTGTAGTTCCCAGCATCCGTCAGGTCACTCAGTACTGCCTCTGGTGGATCTGACACCTCTGGCCTCCACAGGCACCCATGCAGACGTGCGCGCGAGCGCACACACACACACACCTTAATATGTACGATATAAAGTAAAAGTAATTAGAAGGAGGGCTGGAGAGATGGCAGAGAGGTAGAGAGCACTGGCTGTTCTTCCAGAGGTCCTAAGTTCAATTCCCTGCAACCACATGGTGCCTCATAACCATTAGTAATGAGATCTGGTGCCCTCTTTTGGCATGCAGGAGTGCCTGCAGGCAGAACACTGTATACTTAATAAATAAACTCTTTTAAAAATTAATTAGAAGGCTAATATCTGATCGAAATATGTTGTATAGACCTGACCCAGTAGCTCATTCTTCATAGACAGGGTTCTGAGAGAGAGGATCAGGGGATCAGAAAATGAGAAATTTGGGGTAGAGAGGCCATGCATAAGCTACGTCATATACCAAGCAAGCGTATTAAGAAGTACGGTATTTTATACACTATTTCTAGGGGAGAAATGGAGTGAAATCAGCAGAAACTACCAGACAATGGGACTAAATCAACTCTGTATACATGTAAAATAAATGCATACATACACACATAGATAAATAGAGCCAAGGATGGTGTGTGCATCTGTTAACCCTTTACTTGAGGAGGCAGAGACAAAAGGATCAGAAATTCACTGTCTTTCTCAGATACATAGCAAGTCTGTGGCCCACATGGGCTGATAAACTGTCTTTTTTTTTTTAATTAACTAATCCTTTAAAGGAATTTTACTTGCTGAAACCACAAGTCATGCTCTCTGTCTCCACCTTTTGAGTATTGATTAGGATGACAGGCAGGCAGCCCTGTCTGCCAGGCATTTATGTGCATGCTGGAGATCCTAACTTGAGTTCTCGTGTTTTCATGGTGAGCACTTTACTGACTGAGCAGTCTTCCCAGCCCTGTCTTCAATTCTTCAGAAATAATTTGGTGTAGGTCTTTAAAGTGATGCAAGTATTTCTTCCTGGATGAAACAGAACACATATTTACTTCATTCAATAGCAATTTAGTCTGTAAGTTTGTTGTTTGTTTTTCTTGTAAACACCTTACCAAGTTCTAGTCTGTCATCACCATTTAGAGGGTGTCAGAACCGTGATGAGGGAAAAAAGGGTGGCCATAGGGAGGAATATTAATAGCAACTAAAGAGCAATAGGAGGAAGGAACTTGATCAAGGACCCTGGAAAGGATCTTTGGGATGAAAAATTAAACCCGGACATGCAGACATTTCAATGTGATGACAATATGGGAGTGACCCACCTTGCAGTGGTGACACCATGATCATGAAGGTAGTTTTCTCAGCGAGCCATGTCCATTGCATTTGGGATGTGCTGCTCCCTGTGCTGCTCAAATGTAGTAAACTGACCAGCACAACTTGTGATCATGGGGGGGTTGCATTCTCACTGTCTTCCCCGATAAACAATGAAAAGAAATTATGGGAGTCACATTTGCATATTTAAATATTACCTCTGTTCTGGTGGATAGTAAAAAATCTTTAGAAACCTGGTTTTCTTTTTTAAATGTTTTAAAATTATGCTTCTTTTGCCAGGCGGTGGTGGCAATGTCTTTAATCCCAGCACTCAGAAAGAAGCAAAGGCAGGTGGATCTCTATGAGTTTGAAGCCGTTCTGGTCTACAAAGCAAATTCCAGAACAGGCTCCAAAGCTGCACAAAGAAACCTTGTCTCAAAAACAAAATTATGTTTATTTATTTTGGCGAGCCAAAGCCCATGTACCTCAACACGAATGTGGATGTCAGAGGAAAACTTAGGGGATTTGATTCTCCCCTTCCATTATGTGGGTCCCAGGGACTGGTCATCAGCTTGACACCAAGCTCTTTGCCTATTTAGCCATTTTACCTTTCCAAAGCCTTAATTTTCTCCAGAAGGCTGTTCGGGGAGTTCTGAATTTTATTAACGTATATTAATTATGCAAAACAGTGAGTTTCATTATTACATTTTCATGCATCTATACAACATATTTTGATCATATTTATACCTGAACACACTCTTTTGTCCCCCTTCCAGTTGCTGACCTATTTTCTCTTCCAAACTAGTTCTCCTCTTTTCCTGCCATTTGGGAGGGCATAAGCACGGAGGAGGAGTTATTTACAGGCACATGGACAACTTACCAGTAGCTACACCATTGACAAAAATATCTCCCTCTTTATCAATAACTATGAAGAGCCAATTGCTTAAGGTGGGAAGAGGAAAGGACAGGAAGTGAGCCCCTCCTACTGGAAGTGAGCCCCTCCTCCCCGACAACCCCCTTAACTGCCTGCAAATTCTCAGAGAGCAGTGGGGCCTTGCAAGCCCCTCCCCTCCCCACGACTGACTACTGAATCACCTGGTTTTGTGAAAATCATCTTATGCATGTCATCACAGCTGCTGTAAGTGAAATGGCCACATCCTGTCATGTCTAAAAGACAGCCTTCCACAAGATGTTCCCCTTTTCTAGGTCTCCCAACTTTTTTCCACTCCCTCTTCTGCAATGTTTACCATTCCCTTGGCCTTGGAGAAGGTGATGCTGTCTGTCCTACTGAGGGCCAAGCATTCACTTGTCATGTATTATGAGGACTCCGACCAGGTGTGAGTCTCTACGGTGACCACCCCCCACTAAAATAGAAGTACCTCTAACCAAAACCGGCAGCAGCATTAGTCTATGGACGTAAATATAAATGTTTATATGGTAGATTGACAAGCACATGCTTTCCATTTAATGGAAAAGACATTAAAGGTCGTTTCTGATCCAAACTCGATTCCCCCATCCATTGCTAAGTCAGAACTGTAAGAGTTGCATGCGGGTACCTTCCCTCACTGACATTCTTTGCACAGTCATCAACTTTTATTTATGAATTTGAACATTGTAAAAATTGTGAAGAGTATAGTTTCCCCTTCTCTGACTTGATAGTTTTACTTTGGAAGAGACTATTAGCATGGTTTTTCAACTTACCTCTTAGTGATAAAAATCAACTACTCCTAAGTTGAAATGTGAAATCCTTACTGTTTCCAAGATGTCTAGCAAGACTGGGCCAATAAACAAATGCTGATACTAAATACAAGGAGCAGTTATTCAATGATTAACACTATAGAAGGATTTGCTGGGCAGTGGTAGTGGACACCTTTAATCTCAACACTCAGGAGGCAGAGTCAGGTGGATCTCTGTGAGTTTGAAGCCAGCCTAGTCTATAGAGTAAGTTCCAGGACAGTAAGGGCTACATAGAGAAACCCTTTCTGGATAAAAACCCTAAAAACAAAAACCAAATGCTATAGAAGGATTAGTAAAACTGTCTTCAAGTTTACACAGAAGCATATTTAGAATTTGTGTGACATCCCAAAATTGTGCCAATGTCAGAACTTGGCTAAGGAGATGGCTCAGTCCGTAAAATGTTTGTCGCATTAGCATGAAAACCTGAGTTCAAGTTCCCATTACCCACATAAAAAGCTGAATGGGGTGCTGGACAGATGTCTCAGCAGTTAAGAGCACTGACTGCTCTTCCAGAGGACGTGGGTTCAATTCCCAGTATCCACATGGCCGCTCACAACTATCTCTAACTCCAAGGTCTGACACCCTCATTCAGACATACATGCAGGCAAAACACCAATGCACATAAAATTGTAAAAAAAATTAAAAAGCTGGATGGGGCACTGTGCCATTACAATCTCAGAGTTGGGGAGGCAGAGATAGGAGGATCCTTGAGACTTCTGGGTTAGCATGCCAGTAGGAGACCCTGTCTCAAAAAGTAAGGTGAGGAGCCACATAATCTGACTCCCACCCCTACCCTGCTCCTATGCATGCACTCCTGTGTTCACACAAACACACATACAGGTCTTGGAGACTGGCTGTGTAACTCAATGGTACAGTCACCCTTAATTCTAAGCCTCCTTCAAACCCTGGGAACATGCACCCCTTTCCCAGTTTCAAATATTCATGCCTTGTTCCCTTTTAGAAGATTGACTTCTATATTTATGTACAGTCCTAACGTTATGACACCTGTCCTGATGATCATGAAAATGTCCCAGATGAAATTATACTTAAAACTTCCTGAGCTCAAACTTGACGGTGGCTGTGGGTCCTCACAGCAGGATTTGGCCAAGACAATCCTCATGTTTATTTCATGAGCACAGAAGACTGTGTTGAACAGCTGAAGTCCAATGTGAAGTTCAGAACACAGGCGAAAGTACACAAAGAACTGTGCAATCACTTGCGCATTCCAGGCAGAGGAAACAGAACTCAACCGTTGGAGACAACTAACTATTTGCTCTGCTGTTTTCAAAGACTGTGTGGGAGGGAGATGGAGATAATTGCCTCATTGCTCCATTTCCTTCTGCCTGTCTAAACATTGAGTGTGTAGCTACTGGGTGTCAGTGCTTGAACTGACAGTCAGGAGAGCGACTGCTCATTTGAAAATTGAGATTCCAATATAAATAGTAATCGAACCCCAACAGAGAATTTCTAAAAGTGCCCAACTTGAAATTCACGGTGGTGTTGACTTAGCTAATTTCAGTCCATGCGCTTACAGAATTTAATATAAAAATACTTCCAATGTATAGCTACAATAATATGGTATTTGAAAAACTATTCAGCTAGTAAATTTAAAAACATGCTTTTTGTCAGGCATGTTACACATTTAATCCCAGCCCTCGGGAGACAGAGGCAGGCAGGATCGGTAAATTTAAGGCCAGCCTATTCTACATAACAAGCTCTAGGACAGCAAGGGCTACCTAGAGAAGCCAGGTGTGTGTGAGTGTGTGTGTGTGTGTGTGTGTGTGTGTGTGTGTGTGTGTGTGTGTGTATAATGTCTGTATCTCTCTGTGTCTGTGTTTGTGTGGTGAATGTGTGTGAATGTGTGTGCATATACCCACATGCTCTGACTAAAATAAAATAATTTTAGTGTAAACTATACATCCTTCATTCTTAGGATTAATTTGTGAGATATACTATAAATATATGCACATCCAAACACATACACCACATAAGTACTAGAAAACCACAGACTAAGAATGCATTATAAAGGAAAATCTAATATATTAAGATAAATAAGTTTCAGTCATAAGAAAAAACATTTTTGGCAGGTGTAGTGGCACAATAATCTCAGCACTAGTGAGGGTGAGACACTAATATAGAGTTTGAACCCAGCCCAACTATACAGCAAGGCCATATCAAAAGACAGAAATGCTTTTAAGTTCTTTTGAAAATTAATCTTTATGTATTTCCTAAAGACATAGGAGAAGATAGACCATCTGCCTTTCTTATGAAAGGTGGTAAACAGTCATGTCACAAGGACCAAATTGCATACATTCTTTAGATTCCTTATATTGTTGACATAGGAATGATATGTAGTGAAGGGGAAGAGGAGAAGAAAGAAAAGTCTAATACAAAAAGAAAAATAGTCACAATTATTTCTGGATGCTTTATAGGCTAAGGAAATATTGAACTCTTAACCTTATGCCTTCAAAAATTCTAAAGGCAATCCATTTGAAGAAAGGATGGAAGAGGAAGAGGAGGACCAGTTTTTATGTCAACTTGACACAAATTAGAGTCATCAGAGAAAATGCCTCCATAAAATAGGGTTGTAGGCAGGCCTCTAGGGTCTTTTCTTACTTAGTGGTTGATAAGGGAGGACACAAACCATTGTGGGTGGTGCCATCCCTGGTTTGGTGACCCTGGGTTGTATAAGACAGCAAGCTGAGCAAGCCATGAGGAAAAAGACAGTAAGCAACACTCATCCACAGCCTCTGTATCAACTCCTGCCTCCAGATTCCTGGCCTGTTTGAGTTCCTGTCCTGGCTTCCTTCAGTGATGAACTACAGTGTAGAAGTGTAAGCCCAGTAAACCTTTCTTCTCTAACTTGCTTTTGTCAGACATGCTGTTTCATGGCAGCAATAGTGACCTTAACTAAGACAACGTGGAAGAGAAGGGGAAAAGGGAAATAGAATGGAGGGGGTGACTGGGGAGAAAGGTAGCTTATACTGTAGTGCAAATTCTACTTGGTCTTAGTAATAAAAACCCTGAATATGATATAGGGGTAAATGCTGAAAGATCAGAGAAGCAGAGCAGCCAGTCACTAGTTCTTGCCTCTCCTGAATCCTCAGACTGTGGGCAATTCTGTCTGTAGGAGCCCTTAGACAGAATAAAACCTCAAAGTGAATGCAATTAACTCGTGTCTCCTCCTGCTTTATATTCCTCTCTCTGCCCAGCCATATTCCTTCCTGACTCTACTTCCCCTAGTGCTGGGATTAAAGGCACGTGACTTCCAAGTACTGGGATTACAGGTGTGTGTTGCCACCCCCTGGTCTTCATGGCTAACTAGTGGCTAGCTCCACACTCTGCTATTCAGGCATTTTTAAATGATTGACACATAAATTAATAGTTTTAATTTTATACTATAAATTAATAATTTTAATTTTAAAAA